AAAAAAACATACTCTTCATTTGCTGTTATTATTTATCATCTGGATTTACAATTTAATTGCATTACTCAGTGTAACCGCCTGTGTGAATATCACTTAAAACACAAAAAATCAATTCATATTCAGTTTAATTCATTCGTTCACCATATCAAAACGGTTCCTGTTGTCAAAGAAAGGTCAGATACCTTAGAATATAATAAGGAATAGAAAACAATAAAGTCGGTTTCCTGTTTCGATAATTCTAAGATGAATTTATTCAATTAAAACATGATTCATCGCTAAGCCTCCGCACAATCTCGTTAGCCCAGTTGTTTTTTGTTGGTGGTTAGTTCCCGCTCGATATATAACTCCCTAAGCTGGGAAAGATTAGAGACGAGAAAGACCACCGTTCAGCCGCTGTATACGTAAACCATTCATCAATTTATTTGTGAATTGTCAATCGTGTAGCATTATGATATTGTCGTATTAGCGGTGGCCCTCTTATGCAAATCGGGGTGTTTTTAGTGCGCAGTTTGGACTATCATAAATAAAAGTCTGGTTTCTGCTGCATGTCCCATGCGTATACGTTTAGGCGGCACTCAAAAAAACAATATCCAAGCCAGGACTTTAAACTAATGCATGTTGGTACGCCATGCCAGATTAAACCGAAATATAATCCTACTGGATTTGCATTGCTTATAGAGGGGGAAAACTCGCCTCAGATTTGGCGCGCATATTCCCCTTAATCCTCAGGATAGACTTTCCCGCCAAATCCAAGTCATGTTATGAATCACTCCCGATACTAATACCCCACTTGAATTTGAAAAGTAGGCCTATAATACTTTAAGACTCGCGTATAATGTATTCTCCTCAAACTTCACAATATATAGATTTCAAGGGGCTTTACTTTTGTGTAAGGTCGCATAGGGAGGGTTTGGGGTACCTTGGGGCGAGGTGGGTACAAGGGGCTTTACTTTTGTTGGTTAGAGGAGGGGTTTTGGGTACTGTGGGGTGAGGTTGGTACAAGGGGCTTTACTTTTGTTAATTAAGGCTGACGATAAGGAGTTTGGGGTACCGTGGGTGGGGTGGGTACAAAAAAATGTTTTTACTTTTGTGGTTTAAGGCTGTAGAGGAGGAATTTGGGGTACCATGGGGTGGAGTGGGTACAAGGGTTTTTCACTTTTGTTGTTTTAAGGCTGAAGGGGAGGAGTTTGGGGTACCGTGGGGTGACGTGGGTACAAGGGGCTTTACTTTTGTTAATTAAGGCTGAGGATGAGGAGTTTGGGGTACCATGGGGTGAGGTGTGTACTATAGGGGCTTTACTTTTGTTATTTGAGGCTGTAGAGGAGGAGTTTGGGATACCATGGGGTGGAGTGGGTACAAGGGTTTTTACTTTTGTTGTTTTAAGGCTGAAGGGGAGGAGTTTGGGGTACCGTGGGGTGGAGTGGGTATAAGGGTTTTTACTTTTGTGGTTTAAGGCTAAAGGGGAGGAGTTTGTGGCCCCGTCGGGTGAGGTGGCTATAAGGGGACTTTAGTTTTGTTATTTAAGGCTGAAGAGGAGTTTGTGGTACCGCGGGGTAAGGTGGGTACAGGGAGCTTTACTTTTTTGTTAATTAAGGCTGAAGATGAGGAGTTTGGGGTACCTTGGGGTGAGATGGGTACAAGGGTTTTTACTTTTGTTGTTTAAGGCTGAAGGGGAGGAGTTTTTGGTCCCGTATGGTGAGGTAGCTATAAGGGGACTTACTTTTGTTATTTAAGGTTGAAGGGGAGGAGTTTGTAGTACCGCGGGGTTAGGTGGGTACAGGGGGCTTTACTTTTCTTAATTAAGGCTGAAGATGAGGAGTTCGGGGTACCATGGGGTGAGGTGGGTACAAGGGTTTTTACTTTTGTGGTTTAAGGCTGAAGGGGAGGGGTTTGGGGAACCGTGGGTTGAGATGGGTACAAGGGTTTCTACTTTTGTTGTTTAGGGCTGAAGGGGAGGAGTTTAGGGTACCGTGGGATGAGGTGGGTACAAGGGGCTTTACTGTTGTTGTTTAAGGCTGAAGGGGAGGATTGTGTGGTCCCATTGGGTGAGGTGGCTACAAGCGGACCTACTTTTGTTATTGAAGGCTGAAGAGGAGGTTGTGGTACCGCGGGGTAAGATGGGTACAAGGCGATTTACTATCTTTACTTTGGGCTGAAGAAGAGGCGTACGGGAGTACCGTGGGGTAAGGTGGGTACCTCCCCAAGTCTTCAACCACTTGTTTGGCGCACCAACACTTAGGACAAGTTTTGTCATTTAAGTTCAGTGGCAATGAAACTGCAAGACGTCAAATCATGCGTTTCACAGAGGAGCAAAGACCTGCTCACAGATATGACGTCAGATGCAACAGATCTATACATTTAACCTGGGATATATTTGCAATTTCGACCGATCAGTTCTTCCTATTGCCTCTTCATTTAATATTGACTGGCGAAAGTCGATCTGGCCCTTCAGTGTGACGTCATTCCATCACAATCCACGCCCACTTTGCAGGGACTAGTTCCACATTATGCAGATCAGTGTTGTTGTAGTCATACTCGTACTCGTACACTCGATCGTACGCAAGTTTATTTTTTGTTACTCGTACTCGTTCTCATGAAAATGTACTCGTATTCGTACTCGCAAGACAAAAAATACCCGTACTCGCACTCGTACTCGTACTCATGACAAAGTACTCGTACTCATGACAAAGTACTCGTACTCATACTCATGCAAATGTTCTCCCACCGGCAAGAATTAAAAACTTTTTAAGAGCTACATGCAGGAAAAGATCCAGTTTTCTCATGTCTGAGAGGCTTCTGCTTTTGTTTAATGCCTAGTTTGACTGTCAAAAAGCCCCTGAAAACACGTGACACATTGTTATTTGTTCCTTTTTGCAGACTGACATGACTCGTGACTCGGGTCCCATTTTCAATGAATCGGACTCGGACTCGTACTGGTACTCGTATACTGCTACTCGTACTCGAGTACATTTTTTGGTACTCGTACTCGTACTAATGGAAACAAATTGCCTTGTACTCGTAAATACTCATGACAAAGCACTTGTTCTGATGGAAATATACTCGACGTACAACAACGATACGATTAAAACGTACTCTTCATCAATTCTGTACGTCAAATTGGAAAGGAAAACCACGACTTGCAGCAGTTTTAAGAAAAAGCACCTTTCGTTAGTTGAGAAAGTGATAGGAACCGTGATGAACTGCTCCTCAAAATAATTCTATGCAAAAATCCGTTATATCAGACTGCTTGGTTTGAGTGCACCTGTATGGGTGGACAGAGTTGCATTAGTGATTGTAAGGCGAGATTTAATATACTTTGCTTTGCACACACACATACTGAAATTTGTATCCTTGTGGAGTCATTTCTTTGTTCTCGTGTACTAAAGTTTTCGAGTTTGAAAGTGAACTTTCAAAATGCTCCTATTTTAACCAGAATTAATTTCCTGGGCTGAAATTCGGACTTAATATTAATCCCTTACATAAAATATTTCAATTTGCGACGGATCAACATACCTTGGAAATTCCTAGTTTTTGAGTAAAATCTATGTATCTATTTCGTGATAAACTTGTGGAGACGTATACAATATTTTGTTCCCTATTGTGCACATGTCTCCACAGAGTACCGTGTAACAGATCACATCAGCCAGCAGTTATTAGGTTGTCACCTTTGTCGGATAGTGCCAATTTCCTTATTACGGCAATAAGGAAGTCGTAGCAGTGATTGACCGTCCACATCAGTCTCGAATCACATCCTATGATCAATTAAAAGGCATTGTTCCTCCAAAGATATCAAGAGGGCGTCCTAAATATTGTGAACTTTGACCTACCAGACCGGAAGTGTTTGCTAACGTGATATTGCATTGTGTAATAAGTCTTGTGATTGGACTGCACGTACCAGACCGCTTTATGAGGTGATCTAAGCTAAATAGGCAATGTAATTCGCTCGTACCACCGCCTTATCCAGTCTGTGATGCTTGTAGTGGAAAGATTATGGCCCGGGGTCAACTTTTGCGCCTGCGCACGGAACGCACATGCGTTGATCAATGGTGGTAAGTTACCCACAATTCTTTGCGTTTGTGAAAGAGGTCATTAGCCAACGCCATTTGGAACAGCGAAGTTCGGTGTTATCCGTCAGGTCGAGAGAGGGCGTCTTAATGACTATCACTTGCACCTAATGGAAGAAAGACTAAAGTATAATAATCATGTAGGTCTACAGCTTTCAAACGCATGCGTTGTTGTGCCGCGCCTACGCATTATTGCTATTTTCCATGCTATATTTGTTGGAGGGCCGCTGTGTCTAGTCTGGTTCCCTGACTTGGCGATTCCTGACTAGACCGTAGGACAAGTACTGAGCCGTGACTTGAAAAAAAAATAAGAACATGACGTAGCAATGCAAGGGAAGCCCAGCAGTCGTCCGAACTTGATGCGAACTTGATGCACAACGCCAACAGGACTTAAAGACGCAGATAATGTGCAATACTCAGATCTGTATCATGAAAAAAAGTACAGGGCCTCCCCTGCCGTTCGTGACCTTTGACATAATACCGTGACGTCTTGCCGAATCAGAGCGGGTAAAGTTGAACATGTGTTTAACCACCACACGTATACACATTTGCGTACTGCTTAGCCTGCGTCTGCACTGTGCACAATGCATCTGCATTGTACATGTACACTACAAGTTATAAGATTCATAGTCCATCTTTCTCGGGCCAAAATTATGATCGGTGCGATTTGTAAGTGTCACTATTTATGATAGGACGCTTTGCAGAGAGCAGAAATTATAGAGAGCATGTTTTGAGTATGATTTTTGACTGGTAAATTACATTCATAATGATAAATGGATTGATGCTGTGCTCACACGCGCAGATGGAAATAAGGAGTGTCATTTTGGCCCATCAGCAGTTCTCAATTTCAAATGGAGTTTGTCTGCGTTTATTGTTGCATGAGTACCGTGAGCCATGCGCGATGCCCCGAAGACAAGAAGACGCACGCGTGCCCGGTACGGATCAGCCCCCGAGGTCCGTCATTGGCTAAGCGTGAATTGGATGTCACTCCCCCTCGGGAACAACACCGCGGCGGCGCTGTTACAATATCACCGCTACGTTCGCTGCGCCCGCCGTGGCCGTACCGCATACCGTCTGTATAGTAACGTGCGCACGTCCATGCGCCCCGTCAAAACGTGCAACTGCACAACAAACGATGTTTTTTTGGCGTGTATTAAACTGTGTTTGGTCACCGCGCCACGTTTCAATCAGCCGGGCAATTAAACCCTTAACAAAAGCAAGCAAGGACCCACCGCAGACCAGCAAGTAGTTATGTAGCAGTGGACCTTTTTTGTCAAGGGGTTGTACTGCATATGACCAGAAGAGTGCAAGACTATATGAAAAAAATTGCCAGCAACTGCTATTAAGGTGCGATAATATTCAACGCAGTGTTAAATTGGACCTGATGCCACACTGAGCGGTGGTACTCACAAGAGCAGATATTTTGCAGCATCACTGCTGATGCCTGCAATTTTGAACCACCGAGTCTTGAGCTAAAAACTCCTAAAGTCAGAAATAAATGTGTTGCTAAAAAATTCAACTGCGAGATAAACGCGGCATCGCAGGAGTTAGAGTTCACACAGACGGGGTTATCGGAGCTGCAAGCCCCGCTATGGATTCGTCTCTCGTCGGCGGACAGTTACCGCACTCGCTGGGACCGCTCGGACTGTACGCCTTCGGCTCGCCGGGGCTGGGGTTCCCAGGCTCCCGCGCCTTCGACTTCGGCCTGCCGGTCTCGGCCGCGTCGTCCGGGGCCTTTTCGCCAGACAGTTTCTTGGGCAAGAGCGATGTGTCGTCTTGTGGGTCCAGCATGTCCAAGGCCAAAGCCAGTCCCGGTGGAGATTCGATGCTTGGTGAGTGTGCAATCTTTCCCTCCTGTTAATAATTCTATTAGTATTCTCTTACTATTTTTATATTCTTTTTAGTATCATGCTAGTATATTTCTGTATTACAATGGTCTCCTGTTAGCATTTCTGTCTTTCCATTTCACTAGGCTTAATGGAGAAAACGCATGGGTTCAATCTGAGCTGAGCGAAGCGATTCTCCTGCAAGGTGTTTATCAAAAATGATTTATAATTCATATTCCGATAGAGAACCTCGACTTCGGTGCACAAGACAGTGTGAAATCGTAGGCCTATAGGATTCACATTGTAAACCCTTCGACAAAGGATTGGGAGATTGAAGACACATTTGATATAACGACAGAAATCAACAATTTAGTATCCTTATACACATTCTTTACAACAAGTATCGATGTGTTTGTATTAGTGGAAAAGAAAATATTTGGGAATATATTTTGGGTATTTTTAGAGGTATTTTCGAGCGAACGTGTGTCAGTCACCGACTGACTAGTCCAAACTATTTCAGCTATATATAGTCACAATAGAAGGAAGCAACTCGAGCGCAGAATAGTGATAAAATACGAGAAGAATAATTTGAAAATCGAAGACGCTCTACAGTTTGATATGGCGATGTTTTTTTCGCCGTCTTACGTCTTCATTTTCTTTGCTCCATAGTCGAAATCGGTAGTAGTTATAATCTCAGGCTTCTGCCGTGATATTCGTCTGACTTTCTTTAAGATTTATCACTCGCTGATATTTAATATAGCATTTTCAATTTTTCATGACAGTGACGCTATTTTATATCGTCCAAAAGTGCTAGTGAATCTTTTTTTATAAAAACAAAAAAAAATCACCACATTGAGGGAGAGTTTCCATGACGAAATTGGAGATATTTCTCAGAGTCACAACTGTTGTCTTAAGAAATGTTGTCGTCCGCAACCATTTTTGTCCAAGGCATGATGTCATGACAGTGACTCAACCTCTTCCCAGGCACCCTAAATCCTCTTAGTCTTACAAACAAAATCGTCTTAATCCCTTCTTTAGTTGAAATGCAAGTGCAGCGTATCAGTCTAATTAGTTAATAGCGGTTAATTCGGCTGTCTTTTTTGTGTGGAGCAAACTGCACCGCCCTGTGCGACCCTTGCAAATGATTGGCGCCTCCGGGATTCTTAAAACGGAGATCAATCGTAATTGGACCGACTGCAATCTCATGATTCCTTATCTCGCAATTGTCAGGATCTTTTTCGAGATCCTCCTTGAATATAATCACAGCTTAAAACCATTACAATGCCTGGTGTAAATTGAGTGATTTCCACCGCTTTGTGACCAAAGCGACAAATCAAAAAGTCGCGATGTGAGAGAGGGGACTAATGCACGCGTGAGAGCAGTGGTAAAAAGAAAAGATGTTTTAAACGATGGTTCGTACACTGCAAAAACTGCAGTGTTAAATTTACACCATTGGTATCTATATAGGACCATCTGGTGTTAAATTTTACTGGTGTTGTCCTATATAGATACCGAATGGTGTTAAATTAACACTACAGTTTTTGCAGTGTATAGCATTAAACAAAATCACTGGCTTATTGAAAATGCCTTGACACTGCATGTGTAAATTGAGTATAATATGTATTGACATGTAGTCATTGTGTACGAGATGTCTACGTTGGCAGGTAGCGAATGGATTTTAAAATAATAACAGTCGCCTGCCGTACTGAGCATGTCCTTCATGCCTTAAAGGCATATAGGATAATTTGCTTTTCATGCATTTTGTTCGTTTCCAATAATTACACCACTCAAAATCCAAAGCAGAGTTATCCAAACCTAACCTGTTGAAGTTTCAGCTCAGTGGATATTACAAGTTTTCAAGAAAACAGTGTAAAACCATGCACAACCTTTTGATCACGAAACGCGATTTCGTCAATAGTCCTCTTGATTTCCAAAAATCAGTGAGCTGACTGATCGTTGGAAATCACCTACATTTCTTGATTTCTTGTAAATGACAGCAAGCCAGACGGAATAATTTCACGGGGTGTTTAGTACCAGTTCGATCTTTCATTCAAGCAGGCCTAAGGATTTCATTATTCGGTAGGTTACGTTTGAGATAAATGCAAATGATCCCATACACATTTAAACACATTTTTTTAGTTACCAGTGTTTTAAGTTCTCATTTGCACAATGTAACTAAGCCAGAATTGGAGGAAACGACGTAATTAACGCTCCTAATGAATTTATTGTTAAGGAAACGGTTAAACCAATACAATTATCCTTGGACTTTGCTCCCCTGAGATAGCTTGTTGTTTAAAGTGTCAACTAGGTGTTGTCTAATTAGGCGGTCATCACACGCCTCTTTGTGTCAGCTTATTTAATTTAATTGGATTTAATGCGGTCGTGCCTCTTTAATGATCGGTTCTCCTGCTGGGATTTCTCTGCATGTTGACCGTGCGATGACGAGGACTGAACATGCATGCTATATTCAGACCAAGGAGATTTGAATCGGCTACGCAACGCTAAGTCTGTGGTTCAATTATAGCTAAACCTGTGTAATGTAGGCATAATGGCATAGGTTCGACTCCCGACCCATGGGTTTCTATAATACTACTACTAATAATTTGAACAACAATACAGAAAATGTATAATGCGCCAGATCCATCGAAATGAGATGCTCAAGGCGCAGATAAACAATAACTAAGAACAACACAAAATGGATCATCAATTCATCATGGAACAATTAGATGCACACACATAGAGTACGTAAAGATGATACAACAATACAGCGTGAGGATCAAACGAAGGATTTATTAGAATGCCGCTTGACAAAAAAAACCCAGAATCACACACGCTCAATCGTCTCCAAGTGCCAGGCTTGTGTGTTTGTTGCACAGAAAGGTAGATTAGACACATGCACTTGCAAGCTGAATGGCCTGGGTTCAAATCCCCACTGAGCTGCATGTTATTTACCGATACGCGACGCAGCTGGCGTCCCGGCAAATTGGCAAGCGGTTACAGGTGATCGCTTCATGTTGATTTCAACAATTGTGGAGATAGGCCTGTGGTAACTCCAACATGAAAGAAGAAGAAACAAAAACAGTTTCGTTTCGTTTAGTCTGCGTTTCGCTCCGTAACCTTTCGTTAAAGTAATTACGTGATTATGAACATGGGGCTTCTATCACCGTTATTTTTTTCGGGGAGTTTTCGTTTCAGATCTCATTCCAAAACCGATTTGCACCAAAACTGATTTGATACCGGACCCATTTCCCCACTAGCTAACCCATCCACTGACTTCTTCTCCACGAACTGCTGTCCCAGACAGACAGCCAGAGACGAAGCTGCAAGCCAGAAGTCATATGACAGGCCCAGCTAATTGCGTCCCGTCTAGCGTTCCTCAAGATTCTTTTTAACCAAGTTCTTCCCCCCGCAAGGAAGAACTGTCCAGGCAGAGTCGACGGCAGGCGGTACAACCGATGACATCCCCGTGCGCAATACACACACACACGCTTACAGATAAACACAAAGCCCGCCATCAACCTACAAAAAAAACCCAGAGACGGTTAAAAAAAAAAGGTAGCAGAAAAAGAGAGTCAGTAAGAGAGAAAAAGGACTTGTTTCCCCGGAAATTAATAGAAAAATCTGCCCGCAGGTCTGTTAGAGAACCTCTCGCCTTCCACCGTCAAGCTCGCACTGACGAAGGCAAGGAATTGTCATATTAATTGAACCAAATCTGTTGCTTTCTGATACAATTTGTTTACTTTGGCCGCGGGGGGTGAGGGCAATTTTCCGCCGTCGACAGCCGGATAGCAATACCGCGCCAACATCGGAAAACAAGAAAAAAATCCCAGTAACGGTGAATGTCTACCAGCAACCCCCCCCCCCCCCTTCCTCCTTAAACCTGTTTTAAGATTCTCATGGACTTGTTATCACTGTCGCGTATATATGCACGGTTGTCTGAGATGCGTATACTGCTCGAAGCCTCTGTGTGTTAAGCACATCTATGAGCGAGAGTCTGGTGATCAGGGAAAGCTACAGTGTCTGTGGTTTTCTGTGGCCATATGTCGTCAGTGGGGACCAGGGCTCTGAATGAAATCCCCCTAGCGGGCAACTCTCTCTCTCACACACTCTGTCTGTCTCTCTTTCCGTCTTTCCTCTCGCTCTGATAGCTTGTATACCGAGCGGCTGCCAGACGATCTAGCTCTCCTCAGATGCATATATTCCGAGGAGATTGCGGCCTGAGTCCTCCGTTTGTGGTCGCAGGAGATAGAGAGGGGGGCCCGAGCCCCTCACCCGAGGGGACGGCCCGGGGGACACGAAGCCATTCAGAACCCCGGTGATGAAAATGCATGAGGGGGGAGAAGGTGGACAAAAAAAATGTTCCCTGTCTCCGTCACCGTGTCGAGGAAGTTGCCTCGGAATCGTCGAGTATCCAATTTAGAGCGCGAGGCAGAGGCGCTAGAAAGATGAGAGCCAGTCCGTTTGCATTCAATCATCCACTTTCAACCCCGGCAATGATTAGACGATTACTGCTCAAATTCCCAAACCAAAAAAAAAGGAACTCAGAGAGAGAGAAAAAAAAAGAATACCAAGAAAAAAAAAACCTCACATGTCAGAAGAATTATGAACAATGGAATTCAATCTGCCTTCCTCTCCTAACAAGTCGGCTTAATAATCCAAAATTGGATTTAGCGGGGAGCTTGTGTCAGGTAAATTTATCATTTAAGGCTCACTTGACGGAGATTAGGCGGGGAATATTCCGGCGGACTGTCAGCGGTTTATTACGCCGCCCCCGGGCGGGTAAACCATCCTAGGCGCGCGCCGCGCGTACATAGATACTGAACAAAGAAGTACATGTATGGCCCACGGCCATCGGGCTTTTTTTCTCTTCTTCCCCTCATTTTCCGTGTTTTTTTGCATCGGTGGTCGTTGCTCCCTTTCAACTAGGAATTGAAAGAAGGTAGTGGATTCGGTCGAATTCTCTATTTCAGTCAAATTCGCTATTCTCGTCACATCCAAAAGATGTT